AAATCTCCATCAACTGCAAGATGCTATCCTATCAATATGGGCCAACATTTCTAAAGAATGCTTTCAGCACCTTGTTGAATCAATGCCAGGTAGAATTAAGGCAGTTCTGAAGGCGAAAGGGGGTCAAACACCGTATTAGTATGGTGTTCCTAATAATCCTTTAGGTGAGTGTATATAGACTTTAATTGCTTATCAGACTGAAAGATCCTAAAGACCTCTGTATTTTAGGCAATTATATCAGCGTTACCTTGGCCACTTTTGATAATTTTTGTTGTTCTCCACAGCAAAACTGCTTGTAATACCAGTTGATCCTTTGCATTACATTTGTTTAGCAGAAGCTTTTATCCAGAGCAGCATACAATTTAGAAGGCAGGGAGTGATTAGGGTTAAAGGCCATTCTCAGAGACCCAACAGTGACATCACTCTGCAGTCCTTGGGCCACACGTCATTCCCCTTTGGGCATTGACATCAATGTCTGGGTCTCATGGTTGTCAATCCCCAGCGCTTTCGAGGTCATGGATGAATAGCCCTTTGCCATTGAACCAGAGACAGGTCCTTGAAATGAAACATACTATTGGAGCAGCTCACAGTCCGCATGTTGCCCCCTGTGATCTGGGGGTTTCCCAGCAGCAGCCCATCTTGGCAGGCCAGAAAGCCGCAGAGGGGCTGGCATTCACTCATCTTCATGAGTGAAGCCTGCTGGGATACTGCCAGGGCTCTGACTCATAGCTGAGGATAGAATAGTGACGGATCACTTCTTCATTTTTAGTTGCTTTTCATTTGTTCTTTTGTTCGAGTTGCAGTTCTGTTAGAAATGCACGGCCATAGAGGAGAACAGTTAGTGGGCAGGTAGATGTCTTTGGTTTGGTTATCAGTTTGTCGTTGCTAACCAACATCATATCTGACTAACGACAGCTCAACAACATAAAGGTACCAGTTTGTGGGCTCAGTGCAGTTTTAAGCAGTTTATAAAGTGTGGGCGGGTTTCTGTAATATAGCTTAAGAGCTAATGACCATGTAGTGTTAAAGAGTTTAAAGTGGATTTTTCAGTCTCAACCAGGATACTTCCTCATAGGTATCTCACTATACAGGGTTAATATGGTATCTGTTTTTATTGGTAAAATGGTCTGTGTTTTGGCTAACCCACAGACATGATGCATAGGTCTGCAGTGAAACAAGCTCATTATAATTAAATGACTCCAGTGTATCACTGTCATCTACTGGTTGCAGTGCAGAATGCAGTTGTACTTTTTCTTTATAGTTTCATTATTGACTAGAAAATACTTTTACCAAAGAAAATTAGTAAAATGTTTTATTAATGAAATGATTTTGTCTTTAATCCATTAGAATCTATTGAAATTAGGTAACATTCTACTAATATTGTTTGTTTCCTTAAATGTTGTAAATTTCGCAAGTGAAAAACAAGTGGAGAATAAGCTGTTTCGCCTGTATTTTCTAGCTGACTTTTATTTGAGACCAGGATATATTTAGCCAGTAATTTGAGAGCCCTGCCAGGCCATAGGGCTTTGGAAGTACAGATGGCTAATCCATGTCACATAATTCCAGGCTAGATAATGACCGGTAAATATTTTAAATGAATTAAGCCGCAGGGAGGCAATGTGAGGTAATGACCACTGTGTTTTTGGTCTTGGATGGTTTTAATGATATTTACCCTGGTAAATTGTCCAGTTTTGGTTGCTTTGGCAGATGGAAGCTAATCAACTGCCTTCCCTTATAGATCTTTTTTTGTGGCATAAAAATATGTATACCATCATAAACAACCCAGCTACATTCACTGTTGCTTTTTTAGAAACTGTAAATACTTTCCATAGTTTCATTGTCCCATCCGTTTCATTTCTTTGGTCTGTGTGTGATATCCATTGAAAACTGGCACAAAATCTTTGAGCAGTCTAGCTTCCATTGGGTTCTAGTACTTTGCAGACCAGCATTATACATTGAGGTACATTTTATTAATTAAAAAAAGAGTAAATATCTTTGGTTGTATCTAATGGCAGCACCCTTTTCTCACAGCTGCAGGCTTGAGGGTGTGAGTCCTGCCCTGGCTTTGTGTGTGTGTGGTGCAGTTTGTGTGGGCTCTTCCTATAAGGTTTGTGTGAAAGGGAGTCAGTTGGTTGTCCTTTGTGTGTGTTTGGGTCATGTGTATATTACATTATGTATCAAGACATGTTATTTTTACCTTGTGAAGACAATATATTTTCTTGGTCCCCACAGGGGGAAACACAAATTTATAAAAAATCTGTGAATGCAATCAAGAAAGTACTGTATTTTGTTTGGTTACTTTTGGTTAAGGTTAGAACTGGATACAAGTTAAGGTTGTTATCATTGAAATTACAGTGATGCCAATAGAAATGATTGGAGAGTTCCCACAAATATTTTAAAACAATCTGACTGTGTATGTGTGCCCATGTGCGCACGTGTGCACATTCACTGTTATCTGGCATCCTGTTTCACCCTCCCCTGTATTTATAATTGTATTTATTCCTTTATGACTGGGCTTGGCTTCCAATTAGGAATGTAGATGAAAGCACTAATATTGAAAATGGTACTGTGTGCAGGTCAAACACTGTGTTAATTTCACTAATAATCACTAAAATCCCTTTGGTACAGTATAATCAGTACAAGTTGATTTTATATTCCATAGGTGACTTTAAAGCTCATCCACGGGATTTGATTGTCGGCCCCGTCTGGTTACGGGGTTTCCGTGGCAACGAGTTCCAGCGTTTGACACGAAAGAAAAGAATGGTAGGAGACCGGATGATGGCAACAGACCGGCACAACCTGGAGAAGAGAATCCGCTTTTTATACCGAAGATTAAACCGCTACGGCAAACACCGCTGATTCCAGCACTGAACTTGATCTTATCCCACCCGGACTCTCGCGTTACCGCTGGCCAATGCGGGAAGGATCAGGATATTGTCTGATGGATTTCTTGGTTATTAATGATGTCAGTTCAGTAATATAATTGGAGTATTTTGCTGTATTTGGACTGTTTGAAAGTACGAATAAACGTGTTCATGAATACACTGAATTGATTTTTATGATCATCATATGACCGTATAAGATATAAAACGGTCCCAAATGTTCTTTGATGCGTAGTACGGTGGGTCTCTCCTAACCAAAACGTAATTTAAACTGTAACCACACAGTACAGGGATATCAGTTTTGTTTAATCGCCATTTCATCAAAACGTTGCTTTCCTTGGGGAAAACAAGTTTAATTTATACACTTATCAGCACTTCATCTTGCATTTTCTATTATTTATGTTGTTTCTTTTATTGTGTTACGTCTTCCCTCGCGATCCCAGTTGGCTGCGTGAAAATACTACGGCTTCATCAGGAAATTATCCAAAGTGTATGAATACAACCTATGTGTCGAGGATATGGAGGAGCAAGGGCAATAGATGCATGTGTGCAATAAATAAACTGGATTGCGAGCGCCTGGAGTGGGGGTAGCACTTACGGTGAGTGGATGGAAGTGAAGTAGGTGGAGGAAAAAAAAGCCGAGTCGACATTCTGTACAGAAACATGTTCCGCAGTGTCGTCCCGTCGCCCTATCCGGGAGCAAGGGAAAAGGATCTGCAGTACTGCAAAGTGGAGAGTGAGGATGGGAGGGGGAGCACGGAGGAAAGAGCCACCGCACCACTGTTAAATTCCGGTAGCGTAAGGAAGAAGGATAGAGAGAGAGAGAGTACCGACGCATTATTGCAGTATAGTGGCACCGCGCACATACGCGTACTAACTACCGCACTAACCTACAATTCGACGTATGCGAGGAGCGCTTGCAGTCGCATTTTCCGAAGAGGATATAAATGACGGGATTTAAATGCATCGAGAAATAAACCCAGGACCTCAACTGATCTCACCACAAATCAAATAGGGATATTTCAGGAGACAACTCCTTCGACCGTATTATATTTTAATTCCCTGCCATACAAAACATTCCTTTTTTTGTTCGCCTTATTCATTGTTAGGCGTTGTTTGCTGTTTTGTAAGTTATCACGTGGATCTGGGGAAAAACCTTGAATGTGGATTTAAAAGAAGAGGCGTTTTGCACGGCGATCTTTCACTTTTGGCTTCCCATCCAGCTGTTCGACCGGGGTGAATTATCGTCCGACGCGCGTCCCAATATTGCGGCACTTTCTGCGTTGATCAGCAAATACATAGTACCTCCTCTTAAAGAAAAGAATCAATCTTAAGTCTAAAGATAAATATCTTAGAGTTTTTCGCTATAATTTCTCTGAATTGAGCTTTCTTTCTTTCATTCTTTCTTTTTCTCTCCATCCCACCTCGCTGTCAGTGAGTCTTAAACAGCTGCAAACGAGATGTAAGTGGCTATGCGGTATTTCCTCCTCGCTTTAAACTCAAACACAATAATAATGCCACGGATCTTAATGAAATCATGTTGCCTCTAATTCTAAACGTGATTACTACTTTTCCTTATATTTTAATGCTGAAAATGATTGCTTTAAAGAGTGTTAATTCAGTTGACGCAGTTCAGAATGCAAGTAGCATGATCATTTATATGAATTGTTATGCTGCTTATTTGTGTTTGCAGAGAGATTTGTGTTGGTTTGTGACCGATTTGACGGTCTTGTACCTGCCCATGACTCTATAGGACCTGGCTATGCAGCAGATTGCCGATGATTTCCCCCCCCTCTCGTTTCAGTTTGAAAAATTCTGGCTTCTGCATATAGTTTTAGTATCTTGGAAAATCAGCGCTTCATCTATCGATCCCCCCCCCCCTCACTCGCTTCCTGCATAAAAAGTCTCAAGTTAAAATTATATGTGTTATTTACAAATTAAAATTTAAATGACTTTCGCCCAATTGAAACTATGTAGCAAGTTTATAATTTTATTATTGTCACTCCTGATGGGCGCTCTCGGTGATGATAACCTAGGATCTGTTGGTCCCTTTTTGTGTACCCTCTAGTGTTTTAAGACATAATTATTCTACAGTGTGTTCTTGGTAATATTAAGTAATCCACCCTCCAGTGAGCAGTGAGCACTATAGTTAACATGGTTTTGATCCTGCCTCAGGCCCTACATTTTCAATTTCTCAATCATACAGATCTTCGTTATCTTTCCCAGAGCCGCTGTAGTTGTTGGATTATCACATGGTCAGTTTACCCTATCGCTCACCTCCAACATGGCCTCTCCACTTAGGTCTGCTCCAGCTCCAGATGCTGCTGCCCCAGCCGGTGCTCCAGGAGCCCCAGGGGCTCCAGGAGGAGAAGGAGGTGCCCCAGGAGGTGGACCCCCACAGGCTCCCCCTAACCTCACCAGCAATCGCAGATTACAGCAGACGCAAGCACAGGTGGAAGAGGTAAGCAGGGAGGACAGGCCAAGAGAGAGAAAGATGGCAGGCAGGAAGAAGGAGAAAAGGTCTAGGACCCAAGACAGTCTAGCCTTTCAGGACCTAAGTATGAAATTTTCTCTGTTAGCATAAATATCCATCCTATGTCACCCGAGAAGATCTTAGGTCCTCTGTTAGGCTGTCAGGTAACAGAGCTTCCATTGCCTTTCAGGTGGTGGACATCATGCGTGTGAATGTGGACAAGGTCCTGGAGAGAGACCAGAAGCTGTCAGAGCTGGATGACAGGGCCGACGCACTGCAGGCTGGGGCCTCCCAGTTTGAGAGCTGTGCCGCCAAGCTCAAGAACAAGTACTGGTGGAAAAACTGCAAGGTATTTATGTGCAAGCAGTAGGAGCACTGAGGAGACTGCTCATTGTAGTGTTAGAGCAGTTAGTCAAAGCCCATGTGGCACCATAAGCAAGCGTTACCACCGACACCCCCTGTTCAAGACAAAGTAAAATCAGCTTGCTAAGTGGGTGCCCCCACAAAAGATGGCACAATAGGCACACAGTATAGAGCTGTCCAAACCTAGCCAGATATTGGTCTGTTAATGTCTGGAAAGGTATACCGTAAGAGTAAAGGATTATTATTGCACTGTCCCTTTAAATATGTGTTTTATGATTGGCATATTTACAATTCTGTCATATTTAGTCCAGAAATGCAAGGTACTTAAATAGATTGACTACAATGTTACTGAAATTAAATTAAGCACTGTGGGTATGTATGGTGAACATTTTAGTAAGTGAATTAAATGTATGATCTCTCTGCCGCCTCTAGATGATGATTATAATGGGAATCATTGGAGTCATCGTGGTTGGGATCATTTTCTGTGAGTGACCACTTTTCTTTTTGCATCATCCTCTCAGGTTTGCATGCATCTTGTTAAGTATTGTATACAGGTTGGTGAATACTGTCAGTGTACTAGTCTGATCAGTGCTGTTGTGTTTGGAGGTTAAATGTCAGCGAGTCAGAGGAGAATGGATAAATGTCGCAACTTAGCTGCAGTGCGTTTCTTTGATGCAAAGTCCCGAATCTTCTTCCATCAGATTGAATGAGTTGATGATTCGCTTGTGATGTAGAGTGAGAAATTGCTGAGTTACTCATTTGGAATGAGCCTTGAAACTGTTAATTTGTAAGATGTTTGCATTGCATGGGTGTTACATGACGTGAGAAGTACAGGGTAGCGTATGTTGCAATGTTAATAAAACATGATTAATGCAAAAAAACACAAGCAGGTATATTTAGTCTCCTGTGCAACGCAGGAAGTTTTGTGGTAAATTTTCCCCGTAAATATATATCTGCATTTCGATACTCTGCCTTTGTTTTTTGTCCTTAGAATTTTTTTTGTTATATATAAAACATACAAGGACAAATGATGTCAGCTTTCCAAGCCCCATAGCAGCAGTCCGTCCATTAGCACAGAGGTGCAAATCATTCCCTAAATGTCATTATACGTTTTCAAAATGGCGAGGACCAAGCCAGCCCGGGTAACGAAGCGTCATTAAGGCACTGGATGGATGCCCAGAATACAAATTATTAATGTCCTCATAACTATGTTAAATTATTTATTTGAACCGAATATTTTCACATTTAGAAGAAATAGAATTCAAGGAGCTTCAGATGGCCTCATTGCACAGCGTAATCATCCCGCTTCTTCTCAGGCGTGTGATTTTTGCAGCTTCCCCACTATTCCAGGGGCAGGTCCCTCTGGATGATTCCTCACTTCATTTGCCTGAGTATTTTTCCTACTCGATGGTTTTGTGTACAATACCATACTGAAGTCTGCGGGGGTAGAGAGCCTTGGAATCTCAGACAGCGAATCAGCTCGCTCAGATATAGAATAAAGCCTGCATGTTAGGCATCAGTGTTGGTGTTGCATATTTTGGTTGACCATAAACTTACAGAAGTGTAAATCATGCACTGAATTTATATGGCATGCCTAATGTTTCACTCTACAAGGATAATTATCACTACATTCAAAAAGCCATTTTTAGGCTTTCAAGAGAGACAAAGATTGTGACATTGTATTTGTCTCCATGAATAACAGATGGCACTGTAGCTGTTTGATTTTAAAGTGTAGAAATATTTGTTCCGAGCTGATGATTGTATGGGTTACTTTATATAAATCATAAGTTGCTAGTGGCAGTGTAGGTAAAGTTAACATATCCAAAGTCAGACCTGATCAGTGTCTGTCTAACGTGAGTTGCACTGGTGGTCTGCACTCCACCTTCCTCCTCTGCCTCCCCTCCATGGATCCATCTCTTTGATATTCTCGCTTAATGTTCTTATTTCTGTATCTTCACAGTATACTTCTTCTATTGAGTGGGACCATGAGAAGAAGGATAAATATGCAAGAGTGACAACAGGAGGGAAGAAAAAAAAGAAAAGCCCATCCCCCATTCCCTCTCGTTTCTCTCTCCACACAGAAGTCTTCCATCCAGCCATCTTGCACTTAAATGTGACAGTAGTGTGTAGATTTTAATATCTTTGCTCTTTCCCTGCCCTCCTTCCCTATCTTTTCTTGGTATTTTTCTCTGCCTGTGTGCTCCTTGCTCCCTCCGTGCTCTAGCGCATTTCTGGAAGGGTCCGGGAGACATGCACGTGTGTCGCAGAAGGGACCCAAGGCAAGTCTAAAAGAGAGGGAAGGAGGAGATGGGGAGCATTTGTGAACCTCGGAGGGAAACAGTGCTTCGGTTTTTTTCGAATAGGGAATGTGATCATAGAGAGTGTGCAGGGAAACAGAGCAGGAGATATAGATTTTTTTAGAAGTTTTTTTAAATCCCAATAACAATGAAAGCTTTGCCATCTTACCTTTTGAAAGCTGCCTGCATTTGTAATTCGACATGAGCATACCTAACAACCTTCCAGTTCTTCCTTCTATTACTGCAACTATTATTACTACTAATAGGCTACTAATACAGAATCTCACTTATGATCATTTTGTTGTGTGCGTGTGTGTACTTGTGATGCAAATTGTAACTTGTAGCTTTTACAGATATAGTTTGCTCTAGGCAATTTTTTTTATCTCCTTTCTATTTGATTTATAGTTACCAGTGTTCTCTCTCCAAAGTTTGACTATAAGATTATGTCAGCTTTAGAGTGATTGCAGAGTATGACCCAGACCTCAGCTCTGGCTACTACAGACACACTTCAGTGTTTAAGCTGATCTTACAGACCGTAGATGGTGACGGGGATAGGAAGACATGCACAGAGACTCTACCAGTGACACTGACAATCTGCTTTCATTTACTGGTCTGCCTTTGCTATACATTCAGACAGGCATGCACTATTTTAATCACTCTGATGAAGACTGAAGTTCAAATGTATAACATGTGAAATGTGCCATTCTGGATCTGTTTGGATTCATTTCTTATAAATAAGAGACATTGTGGAACAACCGCATGGTGGAAGCAAGGGACACACAGAAGAATAAGTGAGGATGTATTCCTCCAGCTGATATTCATACCGGAGACTCAGTGGAAATCCCCAGTGCTGTCCACGTCGGGTCAATTTGGTCGTGTGCATACGTTTTCTTGTGAGTGAAGGGGAATCATTATTCGCAGTAAATGAAAAAAAGATCTTATCAAAATTGTTCTGTTATGCATCAAATGTTCAATTAGTCAAAAAAGAAGACATAAAAAATAGATCTGAAATGTGATATCTAAGAAACTACTCACGAAACAGCACTGGGAACTTGTCAGTTTTGATGTTGAATTAATCTCACTGCAAAGAAAAATGGTTCTCCTAAAGAAGATGAAACAATATCATGCATTGCAAATAAGACTAATCTGAGATATGTACACAAAGATCCATTTGCTAAATGGAAATTGAGGAGGTATCAAAGATGAGTCAAACTGATCAAATATTCCATAAAACATTACAGAACTATGATGTGATTTATTGATTTAATCGCATGCCTATTTGCTTACCACTTTTGCTGAAGCCAATAAAGAATCATCATCAACATGCAGTGAGCGTCTTGTCCTTACTCTGATCGTACACACCATGGAGGGGTGTTCAACAGCCCAAATCTACCACTGAGTGCCTATCTGGCTGCTTTTACGTGTTCCCCCCTAAAATTTTGTAAATAAATGCAAACAGCACCATCATCATTAAGTTTTTTCAATTGATAGTATTGGCATGTTGATTGGTGTGTGGCACTGTGAATTAGGAATCTGTACTTCTGGTCAGAATCCTGTGGCTGAAAGAGTGATGTCATTGTTGGAGGCTGATCAGGATGCTTAACCTCAATTTATCTAGGGACTGGATGACTCTGCTTTCTGATTCTCATTTCATCACTTGGAAAAAAGTGTTTGCTAAATAAATGTAATGCAGTGCTGCCAGGAATGTCTGTGTGGCTCCTCTGCGTGCTAATTGGTGTTCTGTACTTGGCTTGTTCCACCAGGGGGAGCTGAAGGAATATTGATAGAATATTGATGGAGATACTTCTCAGTCAAGCCAAAGCATGAGACCATGGTGATGGATTGGGAGATGGTCATAAATGTTAAGAACGTCATCTACATCCATCTATAATGAATCAGTTCATTCTTAGGTTCTTAGGTGTAAATAACCATTTATTACACTTACATTACCATTTATTAATGGGCAATCCGTGTGATCAGTAGACCAGAGCAACTATCCTTGGATTATGGAAGCAAACTGGAATCACTGGGGAAAAAACCCACACAATGTGAGGATCTTGCAAAGGTCATCATGCCACTTGCTGAGTGATCTACAAAAATGCACACCTTGAAACATGAGAGAGGCGCAATGTGGCGAAAGTTGTGTGATTGCCCTAAATCATACAAGACTTGGAAGATTCTTTAATCCCTTAAGATTCCTTAATATTCACATTCAAAATCAACTCCAGGCTGCCCCATGACCCTGATCAGCATAAGGAGCTGATGGATGGATGGATGGATGGACAGACATAAATGCTCTAGTTGGGTTTTTGGCTTCCTCAGGTGGCAGATATGGTGATACTGAACATGAGATTCTGATAAGGTTCCAGGGTTGTAGCTGATAACACTGTGGTACGGAGGGTGTGGAGAAGCATTCTCAAGAGTGGAGTAAGTTGTCATTGTTTCCCACATATAGTTTGGACAGAAAAATCTCAGTTCAACAGATTCAACAGAATTACTGCTGAAAATAACAATTAGGACATCTTTTTATGCCCCGTATTTGATATCCCACTTTTCAAACGATTCTTCTTCTATGGCAAAAAGTCAGATTTTAATTAATTTCTTCTACTGGAAAATTTAATGCAAGTCAAAAGTCGCACATCAGAACATTTTAAACAACGTCAGCCATTTCAACCCTCATAAACTCATCCTTTGTTGACTGAGAAACTGATGTGAGCTAAGAAAAAAAAACATAATTTTCCCAGTGCTCCAAAAACAGTCTGAAACTGCATTTTCATGTAAAATCTTATACTACATCCCAAATTTCTTTTAAATACAAATATATCCAGTTTTAATTTGCTTTTTTATGATAACACCCCAGTCTATAAGGCTTTATCTCCAGTGGTAAAGCTGTAGTTACATTGGGGTATTCAAATCTGCTGTTAACTCATAGCCATGGTGACTTAGGACCATATGCATTGTACTTGAAGTGGCCATATTCTGACTGTAGAAAGCAGCAAGGCCAATCATTGATGTCCTCATTGCCTCCAAATACTTGTACTCCAACATTCACAGCATACAGAGCTCAGAATAAGGAATATATTATATATATATGTAGGGCAGTGACTCGAACTAGCCACTAAGTGTCGCTGTGGGGGTTATGTATTGTACATGGCAGTGAGCGTTTTCGGCTGTTTCATCCCTTACGGGACACCGGAGTGCAAAACTTTATTGCGCGCAAGTCGCCGTGTTTCTTTATGTTCATTTTGCACTATCCCGTAAGGTAAGCTGTAGTTATGGCGCTGTACCTTGTTAGTAAATTGGCGCACGTAATACCATCCATGTATTTTCACTTTTACTCCATACTGTTAGGTAAGGTGTTGAACTACATTTTGATGGAAGTTTGAGGTATTTCTTTTTACTCGTGTCTGTAGGAAAATGTTACTACTAAGAGCGGCCGATGTGTTGCAGCCGTTCAAGCGGCCGCGGAGTAAACATAATGTGGGGAAAAGTATTTGGTTTCTGTGTTTATCTTATCAGTCACGTGGGAATGTACTTTTATTTAAATTATTCAGTTTTGATTTCCGGCACAATGTTTTGTTATTTATGATGTTCATTTTGCACTATCCCGTAAGGTGCCAGAGCCAGCCAGACCCCTGTTGTGACATAAGGGGGACCACTGGTGCCTGTGAGTAAATAAAGTGCCGTTTTGAGTCTCAGCCGCAATCCAGAACCTTGCGTCCGATGCTTCTTGCCCTCTGAAACACTCCCCATCACACATCAGAAACACAACGCAGAGTACCAGGGAGGTGTAGAGGGATTCCAGCAGCCAGCGGGTGCCCAAAACCGGGCATTACCGGCAGTGGGGGGTTACATCTTTGGTGCCGTGACTCGGATTGTGGTTTTCAGAGACAAACAGGACGGAGAGAGAGACAGCTTCTCACAGGCTGAAGCTGAATTGCACCACTGATAGCAAGCAGACGGTGTTGCGATCAACACTTCTTCGGAAACCTTGGGGACTGATTGGAGTAATCCACTCATTATTTTGGATTTTTGGTTCCCTACTGCAGAAAAAAAAAACAAATTCCTAGTTGAAGCATTGGGGTAAACTGCGTGTATTTTATGCCAAAGATACTTCTGTTGTGTATATCTATTGTGTGTATTGCATTGGAGTGACGACACATTGATCAAATCTGATCCATCTGATCAAAGGTACGTATACCACCGAATTCATTCCGCTGATTGCCCACTATACACCCATTAGACTGTCTTGGAAAGTCAGAGTAGGATGAATGAGTATCCAGATTCCCCATTCAGGTTGGAAGGGCACGCAGCAATGGCATCCAGCCTCAAAACTGACTTTGACGAGATGCAGCTGCACACCGTGGATGTGATGGCAAGCCCTCATCAAGGAGTGAGACCCCAGTCCTACGACCGTGCCATCGGGCCCACTAACCCTGTACCACAATATCACCCTCCAGAGCCTGACACATATGTGCATACCCAAGGCCCAGACTCCAGCCTGCAAGTGACCCCACCCCCACCTTGGGGCTTTGGGGATTCAGGGTACACCCCCGCGCCGTACCTTGCCGGACCCCAATCCAAGGACCAAGGTGTCAGCCAAGCCAGTTAGACAGCAGCCTGAACACACCTGTACCCAGACCAACAGCCTCCATTATGATGCACCCTGCCCCCACATCGCCTGTGGGAGTCCATGACCCCACAGCTCCTCTCGTTGTCCCATCACCTCCACAGTCGACCCGAGCAGGCATGCAAGCCCCAACTCAGCCCCCCATCAGCCATCCAGCTCCACCCCTTTACTCATCCCATCCCATTAACCCTAGTCCCCACTGCTACACCAAGTATATACAGTCCACCCCAGTGTCCCAGGCACCTATGCTAAGTTTTCAAATGCCCCAGACCTGACAAATAGTACCCCCACTGTCAGGATAGCCCCACAAGCCCCGGTTTGTTACTCTCAAGACCCAGCCTGTAATGAAGCATACCCATTGTTATCGCTGGGCACGAACCGTTGTGAGCACACCCCTGCTCAATCTAACCCCCCTGCTGTGTCAAATGCAGCTTTTAGCCACACTACCCCTCCTGATGTCCCTGTGTTGGCTCACTTTCAGACACCTGCACCCAATCCCCGGACTGATATGTCTCATGGAGTTTCCCCCCCTACTGTGCCCCAAGCCCCATTCCCTGCCACCCACGGGCACCCATACCTGTTGGGCCCGCCTCAAGTCACATTCCCAGGCCCAGCCAACCCAGGCCCCCCACCGTGGGTTCTTGCAGACTCATCAGGTCAAGAATGTCCCCATATTTGCTGGTAATACTGACAATAAGGTGCTTATTGATGACTGGGTACGGGACATGCAGTATCTTCTGGAGGCAATAGACCTGCCCACACATCTCTGCTTTTCCACAGTTGTGCGACATTTGGGTGGTGAGGCAAGAAAACTAATCCTGAACCTTCCTTCCCATGAGCAAACTCCAGAGAAGGCTTTCGAAGAGCTAAGTGCAGAGTATGGGGACGCAAGAGGCTCTCTGGATCCACTGGCTGATTTCTATGAGTGTAGTCAGTGACCAGGAGAGTCTGCCTGCTCCTACGCTATTGCGCTGGAAGCGAAGTTGCGAGCTGTGGAAGAAAGCCAAAGGGGGAGCAGAACTTTCCCTGACCGGGATAGCAAACTCACCCGGCAGTTCTTAAGGGGACTCAGTGATGAGGAGGTGTATGCGAGGATTTCGCCCATGAAGCCAAGGCTTCTAAGTTTTCGGGAGCTACAAGCTGAGCTCCGTGACCTAGTGAGGGAGACTAAGGGACTCCAGTTCCCCCGCAAGCCAAGGAGGACATATGAACAACTACATGTTGCATCAGAGTGTGGTGCCAATGTGGAGGATGACAGAGCAAAGCGCGCCTCAGAGTTGTCAGAGCTGACCGGGCTTGTCAAAAGGTTAGTGTGTAACCAAGAGGAACAGATGGCCAGGTTGTCGCACTTAGAGTCAAAGATTACTGCTGCCCCTCGTACCCCGCCCATGGGACCCCAGCCTCCCGTGAGAAATGTTCCCCTGAGTTCCAGTGTTACATGCCACCGCTGTAGGAGACAAGGACACATAGCATGGGCCTGCAGAGCAGTCCTCCCTGGGCCCAGTCCCCCGCGGGTGCGACAGCCCACCCAGTCCATACCCCCTCCAGAGGATGCCCTGCCCCCGTCAGCTCAACCTTTAACTCTTCCATTGTCACCGCCTAGTGGTTCGGACGCATACGTCCAAATTTTCAA